TACATGCGGAACAACTTACTCCCAGCGGCCGCGGGAAGAAACTTCGACTACAATTTTTCACTTTTCACTTCTAAAAATTTCCTTCTCTGCCTATCCTATTTCCCCACCCCCAGAACTCTATAACCACCGTTCTTGCAGGACAGAATGCTGGGACTAGGGGTATATGAGTGAGCCTACATAAGCTACTTTTGCCCAACCATCCGATACGGGAAGCCCAAACTTGGTACATGACCTCTCCTCTAAGCAACTAACGTAACCAAAATTACGAGTGCTCCAGCATGAAACTTATTTTAACACCACCGATGTTGATCCTGTCGATTTGATTGCAGCCCTAGAAACCATTCTTGTGAGGACTCAAACGACGGACTACAAGAAACACTCCATTCGGCGACGCGTCACCTCCTTGCTGATGACACACCGTCCAGCCCAATGTGTCGAAGAGTGAGTCAAAAGCTATTAAAGAACTACGAACGGATGATCATATCATCATTCAGCCAGCTGATAAGGGACGGTCAACGGTCGTAATTAATCGAGAAGACTGCAATGAGAAAGCAATAACTCTACTAGATGACAGAGAATTCTAAAAACCAGCACAAAACTCGGAAGCAAAGGCAGTACCAAATCGGCTGAATAAATTACTCGGAGAATTCAAGAACCAAAATGTGATAAATGAGAACGAACAGCGCCTAATGAAACCAACAGATACTGCCCTGGCTCGCTTATATGGTCTGCCAAAGTTGCATAAACCGAACGTTCCATTGCGGCCAATCGTTGCCCTAAAAGGCAGCCCCACATATAATTTGGCAAAATGGATGTATTCGATACTAAAATTCCTCCAAGGCAACTCTGACGCCTCAGTTCGTCCAGCCTCCCAATCCCTGGCAGACCTCCATGGCCGAAGGATTCGATCGGACGAAACGATGGTTTCCTTTGAGGTGACGTCATTATTCACATCCATTCCACCGAGTTTGGCACGAGACGTCTTGTGCAGAAAACTTGACGAGCTGTACGAAGAAACCCAGAGTTTACTCAAAAATTGAAAGCCTCATGAGTCTGTTCGAATTCTACCAAAAAACTTACTTCAACTTTGCAGGAGCGACTTATGAACAGACCGAAGAAACTCCGATAGGCTCTCCAATCTCAGGTTTAATAGCAGAATTGGTCCTACACGAGCTGGAAAAGATTGTTTTCAGCCAACAGCTCTCGATCTTTTGGCATGGTTACGCTGACGAGTTGTTTGTTGTCGTCAAAAAGGACATGCTGTAGAATTTCCATGATTTTCTCAACTCCATCTTCCCAGACATACAATTCACGAGGGAAGAAGAAAGGGGTCAGTAGCTACCCTTCCTCGATGTACTCATCATGCGAACTTCCAACGGCGAAATAGAAACAACGGTCTACAGGAAGGCGACGAACGCCACACAGCTTCTCAACTTTCACAGCAAACATCCGATGGCCCCCAAACGAAGATGCATAAGAACACTTTTCAAAAGAATCCAGACTCACTGCAGTAACCCG